ATTTTTTCGATTGGATATTGCTTTGTCAAGATAATTCCATACATGTTCAATGGGATTAATGTCTGGTGAGTTTGGCGACCAGTTATTTAATTGGATATTTCCTTCCTGTAGCATGTTTTGTACCATTTGTGGTCTGGAATTTTCAGCTAATTGATTTGTTGAATAATGTGTTCAGCCTAATGATACCTGTTATAGTTCTCTCAATAAAAATAAGTGGAGTTCGGAGACGAAACATTATACCTCCCAAAACATCACTTGTGCAGGACACGGCCTAAAATACGTAGTTTAATTTATCAGTAGACTGTATAAAGCGGTGGACAACGACTTGTGGCTGCACATGATACTTCATTTTTTAACTACTTTTTAAAATAAGGTAACTGAAAGGAGGGGGATATGAATAAAAATTGACTGTTTATATCTTTAATATTCCGTATTGCGAATTCCACGCCAATAGGAAGTGGAAGTATACCTATGTATATCCCTGTATTGTTAGGCAATTCTATATATACATAACTCTAGTAAGGGTAGCATAACTCTGATGTGAATAAAACAATTTTTTAAATAGAAAATTTGTTTTTCTTCTTTGAAATATGTAAAGTATTAATATATTGATATGGATATGAGTTTGATAGTCCAGATTTTAGTTTATATTGATGATTATAGTGTGATATTTTTTTTATGTTTAACTTGATAATTTTTTACTTAATAATTATTACTCAACCATATCATTAGTTATACGAATTTACCTTTATTTATTTCTGTTATTGCTCCGGCTATTACTCTTATTATCTCATGGGTCTTGGATTCTGGCGCTATTCCTTGTCAATATGAAATTATTATTTTATTTAATAAGTTACCTTTCTCGATTAGAGTGTTATTTTCCCAATTAATCAATAAAATATTCCTTTTACAAAAATATTAGTTTCATTTTATTTATAAATCAAATCATTTTAACATTTAGATATAAATACGAACAAAAAAAATAATTATTCATAATTAATTTTGTGAATAGAAAATGGCGGACACGCCATCTATTGGAGGATATTACAGTATGCTGTGCTCTGGAGATGAATCACTTTACTTAAGTTAAAATTAAAACTAGCTTTCTGTAATTACCCTTCTTAAAATGCTTGTAAAGAGCTCTGTACATCTAACCTAAATTTAGGAAATTTATTTACACCAATGCAGAACGTAACAAAATGTTTATTGTGTTTAAAAAACCGAAAGTCAATTAATAAACTATTCAAAAAAACTTTTAAAAGTAAGTAGCTTGCAGTATCGTTTTTAATCAACTTGTTTAAATTATTTTACTTACTAAAACATCAGTTCTTTCCTAGTTAAAGTTATTTTGATTCCAGGAATTGGAAATATACTCCTTCTCAACATAGATGAAATGGTTGATTCTTACAGAATCGTCTGTCTGCTTGGTGACCGGAGTTCAATACACGATTTGCTCTTTCTAGTTAACGGCAGGTAATTTTTTACTCACCCAGGATGTACATAATAAAATTTGAAAGAATATTTTATTATTTTTAGGTTGTAACTGCTTAAATTATATCAAGAATTCCAATTTTAATTAAAAAAAAAATCTCAAACGTTTGTCAAAAACTCCATCTCCAAATCAACAACCCCTTAGTTACCACTTAAAAACCAATCATCCAAAAAAGGGAAAAAACTAAAGGTAGGTTCGTATATGTTTTTTTTTTATGTTTGAGATACTTTTTGTGGTCATTGTAATGTGATTTTTTTTTAATTATGTTTACTTTTTAATGATTTTTTTTTAAATGAACCTTTATTATTTAATCGTTATTTAATATTTTTTTTTATCACTTATGACAGCTAATGTTTCTTTTTACTTACAAAGTTACTGTACTAATTGTGACAGTGTACAGTTCGTCTCAAATTAGAATTTACTTTTGTTATTTCATTTCAATATATATACTACAGAACACTGAATTATCCGAAATTATCCCAAAAATGATTATCCGATGGTGACTGAAATTATCAGAAAATCGAGTAATTATCCGGACATTGGCAACACTGCCTACATGGTAAGAAAGATCAATAGGAATTTTTTGAGCTTTTCTTGCAAACCCTCCCTCCCTTAGTATTCCATGTGATCTAAAACTATTGACAAATACGAAGTAATTAATTCTTTAAAATTTTACCGAGTTGGATAGAAATACGACACTACATGTAGCAATTATTTTCGGAAGACAAGCTGAAAATATGTCAATTGATCTTACTTACCAAGTCAATTAATATTTTAATTAAAAAAGGTGAATACAATATCGCCAAGCTGACAAAAACGCCAAGGGTTCATATCTTGGAAGGTTCGGTTTCTGAAAGACAAATGGCGCTTGGGGTACTTTCCTAATAGTAAATAAGCAATCTGCATTTCAATTTGTGGTGAATTCTAACTTAACATTTTCGTTTAGCAGTTGGTTTCCCACCTAAACTGCTTTGCCACCACCACCGATGTAAGCGATTACTCGTGATATTTATTGGATATTTGTGCAGGTAAGTGCTTCTTTTTATCAGCAGTAGTTTTTAGTAAAGAATGAGCTATTAACTGATGGTAGACATTTAAAAATCGTATGTTTTTCACCCAAGTGAGTAAGAAACAGTAGAAATGTGCACGTGTTTGTATATCGCGTAGCCATATTGCCAATGGCGATATTGCCAGGCATAAATATTTTTCATGTTGTCTTGAATTTATACTAAAGAATCGTTAATTATTTTATAGAATCGTCATGAACAAAGCAAGAAACCGAGGTATCAGAGAGAAATGGTCGGAAGAAAATATGCAGCGTGCCCTAGCAGCTGTTGGAAATGGCGTGTCTGTGAATTCAGCAAGTAAGGAATTTTTGGTTCTTCGTAGGACCCTAAGAGACTACTTACGTAATCATCAAACAACAAAATCTGCCATGAGTCGCAAATCAGTTATTAATTTAGAACAAGAGAAAGATTTGTGTGGAAGAATAATTCGTTTGGCGGAAGTAGGCTATCCCTTAACTTCGAAAGTTTTACGGCGATGCGTGTTCAATTTTTGTGAGACCAACCAAATTCAAAATCCGTTCAATAAAGTTACAAAATTGGCGGGACGATACTGGCTAAAAGGTTTTCTCAACAGGCATCCGAATATTAGAAATCGGAAAGCTCAAAGCATAAACCCCGCGAGAGCTCAGAAACTAAATAGGTTTATTGTAAGTGACCATTTTTAAAAATTGGGCGAAATTCTTGCTAACATGGACATAATGGACAAGCCTGAGCATATCTACAACATGGATGAGAAAGGCTGTCGGTTAGCATTACACCACCAACAAACAGTCCTTGCAAAAAAGGGAGCAAAGCGAGTGCACCTTGTGGCAAATGAGCATGGACAAAACGTCACAATATTATCTTGTGACAATGCCCTGAATTCTGCGATTCCTCCCTTAATTATATTTAAAGGAAAAAGGCTGAAGCCTGAATGGGCAGATACACTTCCGGCGTCTAGTATGGTGTTAATGACTTCGAAAGGTAGTATGACCATTGATGCTTTTAAATAATGGCTCCATCATTTTGCCAAATACAAAGTTGCTGGTCAACCTTTTTTAAATTTTGATGGTGCTAAATGTTATCTGGATTATTCTATTTTCACGGTCGCAGAAGAGTTGGGTATAACGTTATATTGCTTGCCAATTAATACAACGCACGAACTAGAGCCTATGGATAGGTCTGTGTTTCGCACGTTTGAACACTATTGGAATGACGAAATTCTTAAATACTGGTCAACACATAGGGATCGTGCTATAACAAAACAACGTTTTGGAAACATTTTTTCTGTAGTTTGGGACAAATGTATGACACCATTAAACATTAAATCTGGTTTCGCAGCAACTGGAATTTATCCATTCGATCTGGACACCCCCTCCAGGTCCTTCCAACAGTCGACCCATTATTTTACGTACACCACTTCCAGATCTCTCGACAGCTGCTGGAAAACGTCAACGAATTCAGTTACGTGACATAAGTGATTCTGAAGAAAGTGAATCCCTGCCGTCCGAATGCTTAGACGATAGTACAGATAGTGACACAAGTCATTTTCTGATATGCTTACCACACCTGAAATGGCACATAAATATTATGACACCAGGCCAAGAAAACCAGCAATCAATTCCAGAGCACAAGTTGTTACTAATCACCTTTACGCCAAGTCTGATTTAACAGGTAACACTTCTACTCTCAAGTCTAAGGCTAGTCGCACATTGAGGGCAGCGTAGCCTAGCACAGCACAGCGGAGGAACTACAGAGGAAAACTATTCCTGTGCTCTGCCAAAGCGATATCCGCATATTGAACGTAGGTAGTTAATTTTTCCTGTGTATCCGTTATAGTTTAAAAAAAAAATAGATCCAGCTGCTCAGTTAAACTTACTTTTGGATTCGGAATCAGATTCGGAAATAGAAAATATTGACTTTGTATATAGTTTGTCCAAAAGGCATAAAAAATCAGAATGGAAAAACGATTATTTGAGGATAAGAAGCACTCATGGGGAATTCAATTTAATAAGTGAACTTGATGATAATCAAATGAAAATGTATTTCAGCGTTATACTAAAGAACAGTTTCAAGAACTACATAACATACTTAAAACTAAAATACAAGGAATAGGTTGTAACGCACAACAGCCTATCGAAACTGAAACTAAACTTGCAGTATGTTTGAGGTATGAACACTTTTATACAAAAATTTTATATTTTGATTATACAAAAATTAACTATTTTGATTATATCTAAAATTTTCAAAGTAGTTTGGAAGAGATACTTCTTTGGAAGTTGCTTGTATGTCATAAGATTGCTCTGAAGATGGACGAAGTGGTTCGTAATTTAGTTGTAGTGGTGACTGCGCTGTTGATAATTGTTCGTATGTGGAACTACCATGTGATGAAGGGCTAGGTAACGGTTATCCTATACGATGTTGTGGTGGGTGCAATGACGCGCTACTTGTTTGGGAAAAATTCAACGCCAAATTTGTTTCTTCTTCAAGCTGGACAGCCTCCAAAATTTTCCTTCTAATTCGCAATTGAGATATTTTTGACATTGTCTTGGTATCATTGTACATTTCCACAAAAAACTGGTATAAACCATCTTCTTTCTCATTTCCCGATTTTTTTTCAAGTAATGATGATATACGTGTTCGTTCTTCGTCCCCCTTTCTTTGCTTCGTATTGTATGATTTTCCAAGGTGTTCTGTAACATAATATCAATTCTTCGTTTTTTGGCACCTATATTTGGTGTATCAGGAGTAGCGACTGTATTGCCTATAGAACGTTGAATGTATTGTGGTTCTTCCGCCTGGACCACTTCGTCATCTTGTGTGTTTTCGTTCGCTCCTTCAGTAATGTCTTGCAATACAGGCGAAACCAAGTTATCTTCAATAGTATTGCTTCTCTCATCCTGCGAAATGTCAATGTTTCCTGTTGTGTTTCTATTAGCCATAAATGGAAGAAGAAATTCCATCTGCTTCTGGTAAGTCCATTACTTTATTGCCTTGCAGCGTCTCCGCTCTTTATCTTTCATTGTCGTCGCAATGCATCGCGATGGCAATCTCTTAGTTTTCTCTAAATTTCTTTATCTTCCTGTCCTAAAAAAAGTGAATCATATCTGTTAGTAATCATTTACTAAGGTACACAATTTTTTTTAGGTATTTTCGTTTTTTTAATTACAAGCAGTACTGCTCAATCGTCCTAATGGCCACTGTAGATGCAAACTATCGGTTCATTACTATTGATGTAGGTTCAATGGGTCGATTTAGTGATGGTAAAATATTTAGCAACAGTAATTTAGGAATAAAAATAAACAATTTTACATTGGAATTACTAGTTCCCAGGCATTTACCCGGCCAAGAAGACAATACACCATATGTATTTTTAGGGGATGAAGCTTAGTTTTTGAAATCTAATCTGATGCGTCCATTTCCAAAAGCTCAGGTTACCAACAATTATAGAAATAAAGTGTTTAACTGCAGGTACAATTCTAATTTTAACCGGGTTTCCTGTTTACTGACGTAATTAACTGTAGATTATCTCGAGCTCGACAAACTGTGGAATGCGCCTTTGTAATACTGGCAGCCAGGTTTCGAGTGTATCGAAGACCTTTTGAATGCAAATTGGAAACCGTGGATGATATTGTCAAAGCCACATGCGTGCTTCATAATTTTCTCTGCATTTGTGGGCAAAATAATATTGGTAGTAGCCATGGCTAGCAAACAAGTAACAATCGGGAGAAAAATGCATTTTTTAAAAAACGTTAATGAAAATAAAGAAATTTTGTTCGTAGCCTTTTTCGAAAAATTGGAAAAATCAGACAAATTTGCAAATTTAGCAAAGGGCGTTTGTTTAATGCCTTTAGATATGGGGCCCCCAAGTTTTGACATTATATCTAACTCATCTTCCTGTATCAAACGTTTTTTACTTAAATCATTTAAGGTGATTACAGCACCCCCTTATAATTTTCGGACAAAGATATCTCAAAAAGTAATTTTTTTAGAAAACTTAAATTTGGGCGAAATAAATAAGGCAATAATATCTAGAATATGCATATTTTTTAAAGTTTTAATTCCTTCCAGTTTCCGAGAAAAAAAATCAAAGGGCTTTAAATTTTGAAATATCATAATGAAAATAAATGCATTCCTCAACAGCACTATTCTTAATACAATCCCCAAATTTAAGCTCTTAATCTCTTGTTAATGATTTTTTAAAATTCGCCGAAATTAGTGGCTAAAACGCCTCGTTAAGTGCTATTTTCTGGTTTAAACTGGTGTAAACTGGTGTAAATCGTTGCAAGAAACGAATGATGACTCAGAGTGTCCGAAACGATAGTTACAGACGCGTTACACTAGAAAGAAGCACTTAACGAGGCGTTTTAGCCACTAATTTCGGCGAATTTTAAAAAATCATTAACAAGAGATTAAGAGCTTAAATTTGGAGATTATGTTAAGAATAGTGCTGTTGAGGAATGCATTTATTTTCATTATGATATTTCAAAATTTAAAGCCCTTTGATTTTTTTTCTCGGAAACTGAAAGGAATTAAAATTTTAAAATATATGCGTATTTTAGATATTATTGCCTAATATATTTTGCCAAAATTTTAATTTTTTAAAAAAATTACTTTTTGAGATATCCTTGTCTGAAAATTATAAGGGGGTGCTGTAATCACCTTAATATATTTTTTAAGTTGGCAATTTTATTCATTATCAAAACGGTATAATAATAGGAAATTAGGATCTAATAAAAACTGTTTTTAAATACTTGGAATTTTATTCTAAATTATGTGTTACTTAAAAAGTTAGTCATTAAGTGTAATTATAAGTTGGTTTTTAAGTTTAATTTTAAGTTGGTTTTTAAGTTTAATTATAGTTGGTTTTTAAGTTTAGTTATAAAGTTAGTTATTTAAGTTTTATTACAGTTATCTAAGTTTTAATATAGTTATTTGTCTTTATTATAAAGTTAGTCAAACCAATGTTCTTTATTAAGTTAGTTATTTAAGTTTTATTGTAAATAAAGTGTATACTAACTAAACATTCATTTATTGTCGGAACAGGATTCTTCTTCAATCTGACCCTAAACTCACTCTTATCAAAAAATTCTTCCTTGTAGTGAATAGAGCACAACATGCTATTCGGTTTGGGCTCAAATTGGTCTTTTCCCACAAATTTAGACCAAATTTTGAGATATTGTGGGTCTTTTGGAAACCTATAAAAAAAAAAGTTAAGCATTCTAAAAAAAATTCTAAGTACACTCCTTATACTTACTTATGAAAACTTAAATTAGATATTTTCTTACGTTCTTTCACTGAAGAGTTTTTACAATTAATTTTGACACACTTAGTCATGATTTTTATACAAATTAATAAAAAAAAACACTTATTAAGATAGAAATAACGTCGAAATATTTAAATTTGAACAAAGTCCTGACAGCTCTTTGACAACTATGACATGACCACTAAGAGAGGGGGAAGGGGGTGTCGTTCTTTTTTGGCATGTCATCTCCATAGAATTCAACCTCATTGATATGATACAAAATTAAACGGTTCATAAAGATTTACTAATTTTAAAGTTGTTAAACTAATTTTATTTCAAAGTAAAAATTCGAAAAATGCGAAATGTTTGACAATAATACTCTCCAAAATAAAATAAATCGGCTTTTCAGCAGCGGTGAAATGAAGCACAAATCTCTATCATAAAACGATAAAAACGTTAATATAAAAAACTCAGTATTTACCTTTATACCGTATAATATAAAAATTAAAACTTGATTACTTAGAACGGTACTATCGCGCATCGTTCGGAGATCAAAGTTTGCGCAACGAAGACAAGACGTGGGGAGAAATTAGCGATACACGTTTCGCACGACAAATTATTTTTTTCTACAAAATCTGATTTACAATAGAAAAAGTTACTATAAAGCTTCAATTAAGGCAACTGCTTACAATAAAAATGGAGGCATATGCAGAAGTAGGTATAAGGAAACGAAATTAAACCAAACCAAACCGTTATTACCCTAGATATAGACGAAACGACACAAGAAGAAGATGTTAAAAATGTAATCCAAAGAGAACTAGAGAAAGGCAAAAACTGGAAAGTCAATGCGCAGGTTAAGGTTTCCAAGAAGGCTAATGAAAGAGGACAAAAACACGCTTTCTTAAATATAGAAGAGAATGCAGCCAAGTTCCTCGTCCTAAGCAAGATCATAGGGGATGGCTAGCATCGATGGAGAGTTAGAGAAATTAATACTCTTTCAAAATGCTACAAATGTCACAGGATAAGGCACATAGCGATACAGTACGGCAAGAAAGATACGAACGAGTACTGTTCCAAATGCGGCGAAAAAGGACATAAGAGAAAAATTATATCTTCGAAGAAGACAATGATACGCAGCTCTCAGATTCGCAGTTACTTGCAAACGAGGCATATTTAGTCAGAGAGAAAAACAGAGACTACTTCAACTCTCTATCTGGAACTCTGCCATGACAACAACGTTCAGTCCAACGTGGGCATTACTAATTAATTATAAAGCTTTTGTTGCTATCACAAATTACTTATTTAAATAAAGAATATGTTAAAGGCGCACGTTGTACATCCCCCCAAATAGTATCTACCACTTACCATTTGAATAATTAAGTTCTGTGGCAATTCGGGCCCAAATCTCATTCTTATATTTCGTTCTCATATAATCTTGGTGGCTAGTGTCGTACAAGACCGTATTTTTCCTCACGCTTTCAATTAACAACTCCATTTTGCTGATTTTGTTGTTTCTAAAATTTCTAAACACTAAAATTTCTATATATTTTGGCGTAATCTTCGCGCGCAGTCGGGCTGCAGTCCCGAAAAAAACTGTGTTCATTTTACAGAGAACGCAGCACAGGCAGAGGAAAATTTTTCCTCCATCTAGTCCTTACAAGTTACTAAGTGCAATATGCGACACAGCGTTTGTTTATTTACGTTACAAAAAGGCTTCCTCTGCTCGGCTGTGCTAGGCTAAGCTGCCCTCAATGTGCGGCTAGCCTAAGAAATCTGCACCAAGGTAAAAGTTCTTCGGCCCGAAGAAAGCGACCAGAAAAGAAAGTTGGTATCGCAGACATGTGTCTTTGCGTGATTTGCAACAGCTATTCACACGACGACTGCTTGGGACTAACCAAGAATGATAAATTTGAGGGTTACATTGGTTGAAGATATCAGTCTAATATGTTTTATATTAGATAAGTTGATGTTTGTTTTTTACTGTTGTCAATTTTTGATAGTCATATTGTATTATTCTGCACCTTCATATTTTAATAAAATCTTTTTGAACACACTTACTGACGAGCCTTATTTCCACTGGAAATATCTACCGCAACAACATTTGTCCATATTGTTCCTAAACATTTTTTGCTTGTTTATTACTACTTATGTTTGTTTTCTTTTTATTTGAATAAACGTTAATTTAAAAAAATTGACTTTCCTTGTAAAATTTCCGTTAAAAACAACATTTTGTACGAATAATATTATGTTGCGTTATTGCTAACCCCCCACCCTGAGACAATATCGCCAATGTGCAATGTTTTAAAAAAATGTTCGCAAAATGCACAAACTTGCCCGTAACATCTTTTACTATTTTAAATTATTAGGACGATGTATCAATAACATTCTTACCCCGAAAAATCTTTTTTTAATATACAGTACTTTTATATAAAAACATTATAAGCTTACCATGACGATATTGTATTCACTTACCTTATATAAAATCAATCAACTCTTTCGATAAAAATTGAAGAAAATTAATTAAATATTTTGTTAATTTATCTATTCATATCAGGCTAATGCAACTAATTATTTTTTTGAAACTTCATACTGCTGCGCCACTTTTATCAAAGTATGCAATAAATTTGATGCTATCCTACTAGCCACGCGATAAATATTAAACCTCCGTGGATAATTAACTAATTTGTAAGCTACTGAAAACTGTTTTTGATTAACTAT